ACACCAATGACCCTGTGTTTAAGTATCACCTGGCCAGAGGGATTGCCCCTTTTGAAGGGAGCAGCATCATCCTCCAGGAATCTTCCCTTATCTGAAGCGTGCAAAACTGCGCCAGAGAACTGGCTCGTAACACCATGAGCTGTTACTCCCAACACAAAACCAGGCAGCAGTTTCAGAAAAGGCATCCCTCATTTTGGGTTTTGTGGAGGTTTTGTTTGAGTCGGTTTGGGGTTTTATTTAATTTTAAACGAGCAGGGCTCCTCAGGCCACCCTACCAGAGGTTGCTGCGATGGGATGTCCTCCTCTGGGGCGGCGCAGGCAGTCCTGGTGAGGACGGCACTGACTCGCCTTCGGTCGCTTCTCTGAGCCAGCATCACCTCTGCAGAACCCTGCTTGCAGGGTGAGCCCAAAGCGTGCGGACTCTGTACAACGCTGCCATGGCCACAGATCCATGAGAGAAACCCAGTGGAAGTTAGAGGTAGTGCTCCTTCTTAAGTACTTTCTAGTAATTTTAATTAAGTGTGAATTTGAGGGATTTGAATTTGCCCCTTTTTTTTTTAAGCATTGTGTGATTTTGTAGAAGTTACAGCTGTATTCAGACTGTCCAAAATCAATGCAAGCTGGAAACAGGAATTACTCATGGCCTTGGGTGCCCAAGATTGAAAACTCAGCCTACAGCTATGACCCACCGACTCTAAGCACTTGAAACATCCCGTTAAAAACACACAACCCAGAGGGAGTGGTTCCCAGGAGCACGACACACCGAGGGGTAAGAAGCACTACCAAAGAAACACCTTGATCCTGAACTGTGGCCGCCGGATCACAGAGCAGTCTCGAGGGAGGACATCAGGTTCTCAGCCAACTGCTGCTCGCAGTAGAAGGTGCCAGAACATCCCGTTACGGGGAAAGGGTGTGCACAGCCACCACAGGCATCACCCCAATGCTCGGCTGTGCCCCCCCGACACGCACGTACAAATCAAACGACACAGCGAAGGATTGAAGAGAAGCCATCGAAAAGAAAGTTAAAGCTGACCAGTATCTTAAGCCACATCAAATTGCCTTGTGTTCTCCCGAGCAGCCAGGTAGGGATGTCGGAACCAAATTAAGGAGAAAATTATAACCCTGCCCTTTTTGTCTAACCTCGACGTTAAACACCATTTCCCACTGTCGCTGCTGGCACAATCTTTGGCCTCTCCCACTTTTCCGCAATCCTGCTCCCTGTTAAAATCCAGAATTTTACAAAGAGGTTAAGCAGCTCAATTTAAGGCATGTTTGGGGGGCAAAATATTTAAACTTGCCAAAATATGGAGCCACACAACAACCAAAAGCTACGGAAATGGAAGACAACAGAAGAGACTCTTACAGAAGATAAAACCCATCAAGAAAATATTAAATTTCAGCATTGCTAAATAAAACACCTTCAAAAGCTTTTTTGTTTTAATGACACCGCTGAGATCATAAGCAGTCTGGCTACTTAGACACACAGTGCCCCACTGGAGGATTTAGCCAAAATGAAGCACTGAATTGTTCAGCATTTAAGCAGCCGTGTAAGGAATATGCAGCCGAAAAGGACAAAAAGCAAAACAAGATTATTTTTGTTACTCCAGTATGTACTGTAGTTTTAACAGGGCCTTCCTTGGGGATATCTAAACTTTTTTTTTTTTCATGCAGAGAATCCCAGCTTTTAATTTCCTGTTTTTAAGTCAAATTATTGTAGTATTTAATGCAAGAGAGAAGCATGATCTGCATCTTGGAACTTTTAAAATTAACATTTTTACTGTATTTACAGCTATGTTTTCTCTTTCTCAGCTAGCCTGGGTTTTTTTATTATTTTAGACTACCCTGCTCTGTTACACATCTATATGCTGATAAGCTTACAAAGAAATACTAGGAAAGTCTCACCTCTGGATACATTTACTACACACATACAGTACATGCATATGTCCAAGGAATCACAGAGATAACCCTGTTCAGATAGATATAATTCTCAGAAGGACAACTTTAAATTAATAAGGTTTAAAATTGCACAGTTTCCTCAGCAAGTTTTGGGGTTTTTTTTCCTGCAACGTACACAAACTAGGTGACATTTATATTCTCCATGGAAAGTTCTGATGGATTTTTGGCATGTTTTGACACATCAGCTCTAATCTTCTGGAAGATTTTCCCTTTTAAAGGCTTTCTTAAGATTCATTACCAACATTCTGAATGTCTTACAAGACATGAATACAAGCTTATTAGTCCCTGAGACTGTACCAGAGCAGTTAACAGCCAAAAGAACAATGACAAAATGGCATTATATCACACAATTTCATTCAGTTGTCACATACAGCTCTAAGAATAAAAATCACATATCAAGCTGTTAAAACACAGGCAGGAGCTTGTAACACTGGAGCTCATACAGGAACTGGTACTGTAAAACATTATGCTGGCACCTGACAAAATGGAAATTGTCGCTTGCCCATGCATGCATCTCAAGGTCACAGTATTAAACAGCATCAAAATAACTCGTTAAGGTGATAAATTTTGATTCAAGTCCCCATCTCTTTTATTCTAGCATCGAATCTGGCATTGAATCTCCTTCTGGCAGCTGCACTAAGACACTACACCATTCTCAAGAGGCTGAATGACACGATCTGGGCATCCCAGGTTATTGACCTGTGATGGATGACCAGCACACGCTTCAAGCCTTTGATCACTAGTAGAGATTCTTACTTAAATCTTTAAAATGCTTATTGTAAATTTCTAAACAGGAGGAGAAAAACCTCAAACCTAAGCCAAACAATGACAACTAAAACAGCAAGAGACATCAACTCCACCTAATTTAATATTTAAGATTTGTTTTTCAAGAGAACACTTTTTGAAACTTCATCCTAAGCACATTTTCAGTTGTCGGCTCAAAGCAAGCAGGAATTCTGTACTGAATAAAACTAGAGCAGATGTTAATATTGATTCGAAGCCATTCCCACAATGAGCTGACAGCACAGTCTGCTGAACAGAAAGGTGACGTTCTGGGCAGTTTAAAAACAGACGAAAGTTGCAAGTCATTGTCCATTTCCACCCTCCCAATGGGATAGAAGATTGTCAAGAGTTCTAAACCTTCCCCTCCAACCACCATTAAAACGTAGAAAGCAAAACATAATTCTGACAGATTTAACCCAACGACATTTCCCTAAGAGGAGGGCGCTCTGTTACTTTTGGGAGTCTTCAGAATAAGTCAAACTTGTAAAAATAAATACCTACAACATGCACCTTAAATTTACTCTTTTGTTTTTCCCACCACTTTTCTAAATGTGCTAAAAAATGTTGGGAGACCCATGTGTTTTGAAGTCAACTCGACCACTCTGCGGTAAAACTGCTTTACAGCAGGTGCACTACAAAGAGATTCTGTTAGGACCCCAGACCCCACCACGATGAATTACTGACCTAGACAGAACCTTATTTTTTTATATTGCTCTACTTCTGAGCAGCTTTAGAGAATCTGACATACATCTCCTGCAGAACTCGGGAAAACAAAACCCCAAACCCAACAGAAAAGGGAAGGACCACCCCCCCAGCACCTGAGCTGACCACCTCTGTGGTTTATCACACTGACCCCACCCCTAAGCCCAGAGGTAACCATCAGACAAGCAGGCTGCCGTGCCACCCTCTGAAGGCTGACACATTTTGCCAGAGGATTTTGGCTCCATCCCCTTAGAAGGGACGGCGAGAACCTTCAGATCCATCCCAGATTGGACACGTTTAACAGCAATTACTTTTACTGCTTCCACGTTTGAACTCAGCCCTATTCCCTCTTGCCTGCCCTTGCCTACTCCAATCCCCACTCCAGGTCAGGGTCCCCACTGCCCCATTTTACCTGCGGAAATGTCCCGTGCTGGATTTCATAATGGGTCCTTACAGCTTACCTCTCCTCCTCCAGCCAGCTGTAGTCTTCTCTGGGCCACAGAGAGAAGGTCCCTAGGTCCTCTCTGCTTTCTGCGACGCCAGTGACAGTCGTGACAGGATCAGTCCTCACAGGATCGCCATCAGGCTCTTGACACACCTTCCCTCAGGCTTTTTTATCTCCTGAGAAAGTCACAGCTTCTCTCTCACTGTTTTAAAACAGACACGTTTGAGATCACAGTGGGGTTTTTTTTGTTTTAAGTTTGGAAACAAACAACTTCACACTGAGCCTTTTAACAGGTGAAAACAGAACCACAACAATTTCCCTGCTCAATACAAATATAAATACAAGGCAAGTAAGCATCTGACACTCCTTTTTTTTGTTTCCCCCCCAGATGTTCCAGGTGAATACAAGCCCAGAAACTCCAAGCAGTTGGTTCTTCTCAACAGATATTTTGCAAAGTAGCAAGCCAAACACAAAATGCATCCTGGCACGTATTACAATGAAAAAGCGTTGACATCCATCCACACTTCGGAGTAAAGTACCAGTCAAGATCCACGTCTGCCTTACGGCAAGTTCCCTGCTCTCATGGAGAAGCACTGACTCTTGCAGGCAGTCCCACGCCAATCAATGCTTTCTCTCCTTAGAGGTCATGTAAAACTACTCAGGTTTTAAGTGTTGTGAATGGGATCTGCAATCTGTTAGAGTGTATGTAAAGAGCATTCTCTGTACTTACTGAGCAAATCCTGGAAAACAAGAAGAGAATGACATCTCCTTTTAAGTACCTCCACAACATACAACTGACATATTTTGAAATTCTAAGGCAACAATACTGGGCTAACATATGAAACTCTACTGCAGAGGCCACGTTAATGCACTGCTTGCTTCTGCAAAACAGAAGTAATCTGATGTATTTTCCCCATCTGCTTTTTTTTTTTTTAAATTCAGTAACAGGTAACAACATGAAATGCCAATGCTGCCATCGGATAACGTACCTATTCAACTTCTGCGTGCAATGGATCCCTCAAGATGACATCTAAGGTCTGGTTTGAGTAGTACACTCCTTATTTAAGGTGATCTATCTGGCAATATTCATGTATATTAAGAATACACACGCACATTTTTGCAGACTTGCAATTTAATGTGATTTGCATAATTCACTACAAAACCGCGGTTTCACAACTGCTACCACGCACCGGGACTCCTACGGCAGCATGGAGAATGTACGGGTGTCTGTCCCAGGGCTGGCAACACTGCGCGTTGTGCGAAGTGTCTAGGACTACAATCCTCCTTCAGCAGCAGTTAGAAGAAAATCTGTGGGTTGAATACTGATATCAAAATACAGATTTAAATAATTTACTCTTAAAAACCATTCATATTTATAACCTCTTACAGAAAATAAACAATTCATCTGATTATCAGATATGTCCTCAGTTTTTCCAGTTCCAAGGTATGCACAGGTCTCCATCCTGCAGCACGGAGTAGAAATGTGAAATGCAAAGGTGCATGCCTTGTAGGTACGGCAGCGATTCTTCTAGCAGTCGCTTACAACAATCTATCATCTGGGCGCTGGAAACACTGGGTTCCTTATACAGCCGATCCAAAGAAAACTTTTCAGTGGAAGTATCGACTAGCTCTTTTTCTGTAACCATCATCCTAGCAAATGAAGACAACATACAGTGACAAAATTAGATCTCTCACAAAAAAACCGCAGAGATAATATTTCTGTAGGTTATAGGCATGGAAACGAGGGTGTCGCGTCCCGTCCCGCGATAGTACAGCTGAGCCTTCTGTGCAGGCTGATACCCATGTCTCCCTCAGAGGCCAGACTGAACACGCTTACACGACTACGGGCAACAGCCTGCCTACAGGTACAGGCTGCACCACGGAATCATTACTGCAGCCTTCCAGTACCTGAAGGGGCTACCAGGAAGCTGGGGGGGACTTTTTACAAGGGCCTGTAGTGACAGGACAAGGGGGAACGGGTTTAAATTAAAAGTGGGGAGGGTTAGATTGGATATCAGGAAGAAGTTCTTCCCGGAGAGGGTGGGGAGGCACTGGCACAGGTTGCCCAGAGAAGCTGTGGATGCCCCATCCCTGGAAGTGTCCAAGGCCAGGCTGGATGAGGCTTGGAGCAACCTGGTCTAGTGGAAGGTGTCCCTGCCCATGGCAGGGGGGTTGGAACTAGATGATCTTTAAGGTCCCTTCCAACCCAAACCATTCTGTGATTCTATGATTTTGCTCACCAGGTAATGGGGGAAATACAAAAATAAAAATCCTATGAGGCTCCATTTTTAATTTAAGGGATGAAAGCACTTAAAATAACCTTGGAAGTGTAAGCTTGAGGAATAAAATCATGTTAGTAACTACTCTGTCGCCTTAACCAAGACTGGTGTCCTGCATGTCATCAAAACCAATGGATGACAGGTAGAGTTACCTGACACATATTAAATGTGTTAATAACTTACTAATTACAGAAGTATAAGAACCAACCAAATCCAGAAAGGTATTTTCCAACCTAAATGGTTCTATGAATATTTAATTCATAGCTTGCAGCTGATTCTTTTTGTTCACCCCATACAGAGAGCGGTGAGACACCACACGGCAGACCCGTCAGCAGCTACTCAGCAATGAGGCTAACGTGCAAAATTCACGAAGCGTCACTGGAGCCGTGAGACCGCACGGGTTCAGCAAGCCTTACCAGCTCAGGTGCTGCTGTGCCACGTTAATGCAGCTGTACTTCCAGAGCCAGCTGGGTTACAGAACCAGCACTGCTGCTGCCCCACAGCACAGACCCATTCGCAGAGCCACCGGGATGTGAATCCAGCACAGACACAGCTACCCAGAGCGAGCGCATTCTCCGACACCTGAGCACCAAGCTTTCCTGTTCTCTGAAAGTCAGGCTCCCTTGAAGGATACCAAGTTAGTGGCACAGAGCGGGAACTGCAGCTTCAGTTTCCGTCACTTCCAGCAGGAGGCTTACACCTCTCTCACAAAACACAAGTGACACTTGACAAGAGCAAGGGAAGGAAAAGCAGATTCATACTAAGTCCTGCATTACTAGAAGGCTGACATTACCCACACAGATAAGACATTTTTCTAGAGCAGCAGCATTTGAACTCCCCAGTGCACCAGGTCATACAGAATTCCAGCAACGCTACTGACTGCACGTAAAACATTTACCTGCAGGTGCAAAGTAAATTCAGCACATCTCAAAATATTTTCCTTTATCTCAGGGCCCCTTTAACAACCACAGGAGGCTAAGGAAAATCAGAAGTACAGGATGGGCTCTGTTCATGGAAGCATTAAATGGAAAAGGAGTTTTCAGCTTCAATAAAAGAAAACTAAAAGGAAATATAATGTAGCCAGGAAAAAAAAAAATGTAGCGGTGATAAATACAGAATAATACAGTTTTGTATTTCCTACAGCACAAGAACAAGAGAATGACAAATGAAATCATCAGGCCGTGGGTCTATAAACCAAAGAACAACTCTTCCCTCCCTCATCTACACATGGGATGTGTCATTCAACTGCACAGTTTGCTGCCACAGGGTATTTTGGAGCCACAACGTGTAAATTGGCTCAAAAACTAGGCAATTAAGGGGGAGGTTGGGAAAGGAGATCTATTGAGTACACTTAACGTAAGATAATGTTTCCAGCTCCAAGTATTTTCTCAAGTGCAGTCAGTCAAACTCAGGAGTACAGAGTAAAGACAACCCCACATTATTCCTGGAGTAGTGTCTTTATGATGTGGGGTAGTGCGAGGTTTTCTGGAGAGTGGGTTACCCAGATGTCAATGCATGCATTTGCTACAACATCCCTCCGACCTCCACAGACAGCGCTTTCCCAGCTGTCACATATGGACAGCTACGTAGAGAGCTGTTCAGCAGTTTTAACTTACACGGCAAAAATAGCCCAACTTCAAAGCTGGACTAGGGTTGTGGAAAAATTCCAACAAACTTCCATGTTTTACCAAAGCCATCGCCAAAATGTATCCTCCCAAGGAATCAGATCTCAGAGCTAAAACCGTAAAGCCTTCAGTAAGACTCAGGCCCGAAACAACCTTCCCAAAAAAGCATGTGGAACCGTGCACAGTATGTATATGCTCATGGCAATGTGACACCAACAACTCATTAAAAGCTCCTTAAAGCAGAAAAATAAACCTGCAGTAACAGCTTCTGAAAGGGCCGTAACAGCAGGTACCTATCACGGTATTTTATTCAAAATAAAACCAGCATCTCTACTTCATGCTCTTAATCCTCAGAGAGGCATAAAACATACACGCTCACGAACAAAATTCACAGTTCTGACGGATGTTACAAGTCATGGACGTAAGTACGGTACCACGGCTCACTACTGTCGCCCCTCTCACCTCCCTCTCATCTGGGAGGGAGTACCAAGGAGGTATTTGCTCTGACCATTCTACCCCATTTCTTTTTTCTTCCCCCTGTTAGGTGCTAACCAATCTCTGCCTCAACTAACTTACAAACAACTAGCAATAACAATTCTCTAGTCTGTCTCAGTTATTTCACTTCAGATTTTACTGCTTTCTTGTCACAATGTGACATTAACAGAAGTTTTTTAGGTTTCTTACTCAATAAAAAGGTCTTTTCCTTCAAAGAAAAAAAACCACCTCCCCTTTCAGGAAGTAATTGTAAAAAAGAAAATACGTAATTTTGTCTTGTAAGCAAAAATCTTTTGTTTCTGAGTAAAGTACAGCTGTTTCCACAAGGTGAAGGACAGGTATTTTCTAACAACTGTGTTCACTGAACACTGAAATTGACTAAGCAGTAAAGTTCTGTTTATAAGACAGAAGGTTTTTTTTCCACCAAAAGAGCACAAATACATTCATCAAAGTTCTCCTCCTCCAAACTAAACATATGGCATGCAAAGATTTGAGCTAAATGTATACTGAGTCTCACAAACACTTACTCCTCCTTTCTTTTCAGATTCTCTCTTGCTTCCTGTGCTTTGGCGAAAATAAACCACTGTAGGGTTGCTGGATCACAGACCGTTGGGATTGTGAAGTGTCCCAATTCATGTAAGCTTGGTGCGTACCTGTCACTAACAAAACATGACGGAGGTGAAAAACAAGTTTGGTTTTTTTTTTAAATGCAAGTATTTACATTAATTACTTTCTCAGTGAATTCTGAAGATAAAAGAATATCAATTAATCACTATCAAACTAATTGGTAAAAAATTATTCCAGTTTGGTTCATGAGAATACAGAAGCATCATACATAAAGCTTTTTAAAATTAGATTTCTAAAGCAACTGTGAACAGTACTAGAAAATTCTAAATAGCAGAACCATCATACGGAGCTGAGTGTTGACCTGACAGCACAAAACCTATGATTTAACCCAGCACAACACTGTTAAGATAAAGACTGAACTTTGACTTTAACGTGAATGAAATTAAGCAGGATTTTCTTCAATCTGATTCCTTCTTAACCCATAAAAAGGCACTTAAAACCTTTAGAAACAACAAGGCTGACATAAGCATCATCCAGAGGGACCTGGACAGG